ACTCACACGAGTGTTACACTCACACGAGTGTAGCACTCAGACGAGTGTTACACTCACACGAGTGTAGCACCCACACGAGTGTAGCACTCACACGAATGAAACACTCACACTAGTGTTACACTCACACGAGTGTAGCACTCACACGAGTGTTACACTCACACGAGTGTTACACTCACACGAGTGTAGCACTCACACCAGTGTTGCACTCACACGAGTGTTACACTCACACGAGTGTAGAACTCACACGAGTATTACACTCACATGAGTGTAGCACTCACACGAGTATTACACTCACATGAGTGTAGCACTCACACGAGTGAAACACTCACACGAGTGTTACACTCACACGAGTGAAACACTCACACGAGTGTTACACTCACACGAGTGTAACACTCACACGAGTGTAACACTCACACTAGTGTTACACTCACACTAGTGTTACACTCACACGAGTGTTACACTCACACGAGTGTAGCACTCACACGAGTGTTACACTCACACGAGTGAAACACCCACACGAGTGAAACACTCACACTAGTGTTACACTCACCCTAGTGTTACACTCACACTAGTGTTACACTCACACGAGTGTAGCACTCACACGAGTGTAACACTCACACTAGTGTTACACTCACACGAGTGTTACACTCACACGAGTGTAGCACTCACACGAGTGTAACACTCACACTAGTGTAACACTCACACTAGTGTTACACTCACACGAGTGTTACACTCACACGAGTGTAGCACTCACACGAGTGTTACACTCACACGAGTGAAACACTCACACGAGTGAAACACTCACACTAGTGAAACACTCACACTAGTGTTACACTCACCCTAGTGTTACACTCACACTAGTGTTACACTCACACGAGTGTAGCACTCACACTAGTGTTACACTCACACGAGTGTTACACTCAAACGAGTGTAGCACTCACACGAGTGTTACACTCACACGAGTGTAGCACTCACACGAGTGTAGCACTCACACGAGTGAAACACTCACACTAGTGTTACACTCACACGAGTGTAGCACTCACACGAGTGTTACTCACACGAGTGTTAAACTCACACGAGTGTAGCACTCACACGAGTGTTACACTCACACGAGTGTTACACTCACACTAGTGTAACACTCACACTAGTGTTACACTCACACTAGTGTTACACTCACACGAGTGTTACACTCACACGAGTGTTACACTCAAACGAGTGTAGCACTCACACGAGTGTTACACTCACACGAGTGTAGCACTCACACGAGTGTTACACTCACACGAATGTAGCACTCACACGAGTGTTACACTCACACGAGTGTTAAACTCACACGAGTGTTACACTCACACGAGTGTAGCACTCACACGAGTGTTACACTCACTCGAGTGTTACACTCACACGAGTGTTACACTCACACGAGTGTAAGCACTCACACGAGTGTTGCACTCACACGAGTGTAGCACTCACACTAGTGTTACACTCACACTAGTGTTACACTCACACGAGTGTTACACTCACACGAGTGTAGCACTCACACGAGTGTTACACTCACACGAGTGAAACACCCACACGAGTGAAACACTCACACTAGTGTTACACTCACCCTAGTGTTACACTCACACTAGTGTTACACTCACACGAGTGTAGCACTCACACTAGTGTTACACTCACACGAGTGTAGCACTCAGACGAGTGTTACACTCACACGAGTGTAGCACTCACACGAGTGTAACACTCACACTAGTGTTACACTCACACGAGTGTTACACTCACACGAGTGTAGCACTCACACGAGTGTAACACTCACACGAGTGTAACACTCACACTAGTGTAACACTCACACTAGTGTTACACTCACACGAGTGTTACACTCACACGAGTGTAGCACTCACACGAGTGTTACACTCACACGAGTGAAACACTCACACGAGTGAAACACTCACACTAGTGAAACACTCACACTAGTGTTACACTCACCCTAGTGTTACACTCACACTAGTGTTACACTCACACGAGTGTAGCACTCACACTAGTGTTACACTCACACGAGTGTTACACTCAAACGAGTGTAGCACTCACACGAGTGTTACACTCACACGAGTGTAGCACTCACACGAGTGTAGCACTCACACGAGTGAAACACTCACACTAGTGTTACACTCACACGAGTGTAGCACTCACACGAGTGTTACACTCACACGAGTGTTAAACTCACACGAGTGTAGCACTCACACGAGTGTAGCACTCACACGAGTGTTACACTCACACTAGTGTAACACTCACACTAGTGTTACACTCACACGAGTGTTACACTCACACGAGTGTTACACTCAAACGAGTGTAGCACTCACACGAGTGTTACACTCACACGAGTGTAGCACTCACACGAGTGTTACACTCACACGAATGTAGCACTCACACGAGTGTTACACTCACACGAGTGTTAAACTCACACGAGTGTTACACTCACACGAGTGTAGCACTCACACGAGTGTAGCACTCACACGAGTGTAGCACTCACACGAGTGTTACACTCACTCGAGTGTTACACTCACACGAGTGTTACACTCACACGAGTGTAAGCACTCACACGAGTGTTGCACTCACACGAGTGTTGCACTCACACGAGTGTAGCACTCACACGAGTGTAGCACTCACACGAGTGTAACACTCACACGAGTGTTACACTCACACGAGTGTTACACTCACACGAGTGTTACACTCTCACTAGTGAAACACTCGCACGAATGAAACACTCGCACGAATGAAACACTCGCACTAGTGAAACACTCACACTAGTGAAACACTCACACGAGTGTACAGCCTTAGCGCCGGCATTCCTAGCATCGGCTGGCCATAGCAAATGTTGTGGTAAAGCGGTGTCTAGTTGTGCGGTCGTGGTGGAAGTGTACAGCGTGTTAATAGTCGTGTGGTAGTGTTGTGGTACAGTGCAGTCGTGAGGCGGAGCGCAGTTGAGCCAACTTGAAATTGATGTCGCCTTAAGTTTGACCCGCACCGCACTTTCACCCGCCCCTCGATGTCCGTCGACTCCACTCGAGGCTCAAACCGCGTGCGTGCGGAGAGACGCCCAGAGACTTGGCGCTCTCCGCCGCGACGTAATAAGCGGGCGTGGTAGACGTCGCCCCCTTCCTTCACGCCCATAGACGCAAAGGGCGCTGTACGAAACGTTGCAGCGCAACAACCACACGAGCAGACGTGACACAAACACGACTGTAACGTACGGAGCCCGGCGGTCGCTTGACCGTTGGTCCAGCCTTAGCGACGGCGTCCCTAGCAACGGCCGGGTATAGCTAACGGCGTCGTTAAGCGGTGTAGAATGTAGTGTATTCGTACAACGTAGCGCAATTGTAGCTACTTGTAATTGATGATGTATCCTTCAACGTGACCTGATTCACACGTACTCACCCGTATCTGCTCCGCCACTTGGATGTCTGTCGTTTCGAATGTCGACAGCTTAAAACCGCGTCCGTGCGGCGAGACGACTTCGTGCTGCCGCAGCTGCCGCAACTTCCGCCGTTGTGCATTCTGTTGCTAGGCGACGTAGTAGGGAAGGGGGCGTGGTGAACAAGGCCACGCCCATCGACTCGAGCAATGGTCACGTGCCCGCTTATGAACATCGCCAGTAAACGATGCACGCACTACCGCCATTCACCACTAGGTGGCGGCGCCGATAACCACGGCGAAGTGCAGAACATACCCAGGTGCCGTGGGCTGAGATGACTGACTGGAAGACGCACCCTGGTCCCAACTGCTAACCTTCTGGGTTTTAGCCGTATAGCGCTCTGCTCGTTGTCACTGGAGGGCGACTGCCTCCAACTCCCCAGCGGCGTCCTTCACGAACCTCCTCCACAGTGGCCGATCTTGACACCGCTGGTACCAGTAATCGGCAGTCCAATCAGCTCTGCAGCCTTCTGCACCACTGTATTCCATCTCCCTAGTATGTGCCACACCCATTTAGCCCTATCTATCCGGCCAAACAGAAGCTGGCATGCAGTGGCTAGGTATGCAGGCTACATGTCACCGATGGAAGTGTCCAGATCTTTCAAGGTTCTGTGAGTTCCTCGCACAATCCAGTCTGGTTAAATCCAGAATGGATCGTATGGCTAGCCTGAAGGTTTAAAAGTTACGCAGATGTTCCATTAAGAGGGCTACACGTTTCACAAGCATAGAGGGCATAACAAGCCAGGTAGCTTCTACATAGCGTTACACAGCTGATGAAAAGATGTCGCTCGACTGATTCAGAGACCTCGGCTGCCAAACCAGAGCTGGTCATAAGCACACTGCCCAAGTACAGAGGCTTCTCTACTCTCCCCACAACTCTCCCATCACTTATGAGGAGTTAATGGAGGGGAGCATGTGATGACATAAAATACCCAGGCAGGTACTTTGTTTTTGTGGGGCCAATGGCAAGGCGCTATTTCTGAAGTAGCATGCTCCAGGTTCAGCAGTAGGATCTGCAACTCTTTCTCAGTGGGAAGCAATCGCCAGATAATCCGCATATGTAGTATGGTTGACACAGACATGTAGACATGCAAAGATTCCCCCAACTCATGTACTGTACCAATAGGACTGCACTAAACAGCATCTTGGATGAAATACAATTTTATACAAAATTGTGTTGCCTTTAAGGACTAGCCTTATTCAAAATCAGTCAAATTCACTATGGGGTTGCACAAAACTTTCAACATGCAAACAATAGGATATCACATAATCCACATTCATAATTCTCAATAAATTAATACTCAATTGAAAGTGTGCACTATTGACTTTTTAGGCTGAATTTGAAGAAATATTCTGACAGAGCAGGTTGCTGGACGTATGTGGAACGTCTTTCGTACCATACATATCCAACCATGCTAATAAGTACTTAAATCAGTTCTAAATAATGTTAATGCTGGAGCACCTGGATGTAACATCTTTCAAAAACAGATATCTTGGGCCGTCATCATCCTCTTCCACACAAAAGAGAGAGAATAGTGCGTGAGCAACATCTTCCATTTTTAAACCATGAGACTTTCTTTAAAGTAGCAATCACAGTACAAACGTGTAGGGACTGTGTTGGATACCGTCTCCTTTACTAAAACAGATGCTCCCTGCTTCCCCATCTCAATCTCTCCACTGTCAAGTGGTTCAGGTGGACAAGCCTCTGAAGGAACCGGAATGACGCAAGGGTCACGTGCGGCTGCACCGAGCCCTGCTGCAGAGAACATGGGAGAGCCCTCGTCTGCATAGACTGGCTGCTCAACACTTTTAAGATGCCCGGCGCTTGCTGTACACCTTTGTGATCACGCCATTAGTGCGGGTTCCATCCAAGGGTGAGGCGATGGGGGCGATCGCATCCCCCTTGAGACGCCAAAATTGCTTTTCTAGTGTTATTTCTTCTATCTACGTGGCTTTCCCAAAAGACCCAAATAATCTTTTGATATTTACCAGTAAGACGTTTTAAGCAGCTTAAAATGTCGGCGCTACCGTCTCTCCCGTTACGAAGTTTATAGACCCGCCTCTGCACTACTGTGCACTGCAACTCTAATCCAGTGTTGTTGCGCTGCTAGGTGTCATTCAGTGGGCAGGCAGGAACATCGAGACGTCGCTGCTGGGGTTCACTCGAAGTGTGCAGCGCGTGTGGTCCTCGGTGGAGAATGGGGGTCTGGGACAAGTCCGTCGTCCACATCTTCACAGAAGAGGAATACTGTTTGGAATCGGAGACGTCCACATACGAATCTGCCAGCATCACAAAACAAATATTGGCGATGAGTAAAATTCCATCTTTGGTCACAAATTTTATTTTGAAATGTGAAAATAAGTACATTTAACTTCACATTGTTTTAGTGTAAGTGCTCATCTCAGAAATATCCACATGCAGCCGATTGCTCACACCACTGCCGGCGGAAGGAACTCAACTGGGGGAGCTCTGGAGAGCTCCTCGAGGATTATCAATTATCTTTCAAGATGGACAGGTGTCTTGGAAAGGAAGTACCCACATGCGTATTGCCGATAAACTCGTTGCAGTGCGCCTATTTTACTGCTGGGTGGACAGGCACTGAATTTAGGAAACTTGCTTTCACCTTTAGGTTAACCCAGTCTTAAATTAGTCTGAACCTATACTAGGTCTCCCCTAGGTCAAATCAGCGTTAAGTTAATACAAACCTATATTGGCCCTCTCTTATGGTTTACTTTGGATACATACAAGGCACAATTATTACAACTAATACTCATAACCATACTATCCACCCTACCCCTAAATCTATTCCGAACATTTGCTCCTGTCTGTAGCCGGAAGGTTACACTTCATATGAAAGTGTATGTGCTTGGATTTTAGATGTAAATTTGCAGCATGGGTCTTGCAACGTTGTCATGTACACTCAGTGGGGAGAAAACTCAGCACGCAGGAAGTTGCCCATGGTGGAAATGGAACGATGAGATGGGCTGTGTGCAGGGGACGGGTCCTGGCATCACAGGACAGTGCAGGGTGGTAAGTAGCCTTGATCAGTGACCATCATGGCTGCTGATTGAGAGCATACAGTAATGTTTCACGACGGATTACCACATTTTTTCTTATTAGTAGAGTTTTGTTATGGGTATAGTGCAACAAAACATTCCGTAAAAGTAATCTTCCTACAATATATACATTGCAAGCAGTATTTGAACATGACTTTCACTAATTTTGTACAAACTTATTTTGTGTTTAAAAAGGAAAACATTTCATTTCAATGTTTGTTTGCAATCTGACCCTTTGAATATTATACATATGGAAATTAACCAGAGAAAGCCCACAGAAACCACGGGACAACACTCAAGCTAAGTCATTCAGTTCTACGTCGCATATCCGACTTGCTGGGGAGTGTGGTATAGGCAGATCGGTGAAACGTTTGTATATGTGACTGAACATCTATATACAATGACAGTCAATACATGCAAAGATGCTGCACTGGGTGTGGCCGGTGAATTGATCAGGACGAACATGCAACGTACTCTATGTCAAGCATACTTGCTGTACCAAATCCTACAGGTACCATCCCATCACCCTGCAGGCGCGTGCCCCCAGCAAACACGATGGCTCCATCTCCACAAATCCCACCAAACCCCAACTACAAACCACTGGTTCACAGGCTCATGTCACAGTGGTTATCATGCTGATTTACCCAGCAAAGCGTCACTGAGCACAGTGACTATTTTTCAGAAGAGTCTTGCCAGGTTCTCACAGGAGGGGGTTACGATTGCTATGTATATTCCCAATTGAATCATTCGGGCACAATTGTTCATGAGAATAACATGACTCATGATGCCGCCACACAATGGCCTAACCTTGCGAATGACGTCACGGGATCTTTAATGTCCACTCTGAAGCAGACTGAGTGTATGTTTACAGTTAATAAACCCGCAGTATCAAATCCGAGCAGCCGCTGGATTCTAACCGCGCACCTTCGTAATGAGCGGCAAACGCACGACTGCTAGGCGGTCACCGCCCATTTGATGATTTTCGACCTCCCATTATCTTTGCATGAAATAAAACAAGTCACTTTGTTGACGTTTGTTTTCGCCACTAATTTCACGAACCAAATGAACCGTGGCCCGGTGAATGTCACCGCAGCGCAGTGGCGACAATGGGGCCTCCAGACGGCGCTCTGCCAGGAGAAGCGCGGAGCGAGTCCCGTGAGCCAGGCCGGCTCCAGTGCCGTCACTTTCCTCACGAAGAAGCGAGACGTCTGCACCATCTCGTTCAACACCACCCAAACGCGCGTGCACACAAGCACGCAGAGAGTGACCTTCGTTTAGAATTAAATACTGGAGGGGGCTGCTGTGCTGCAATGCCTAGCACGCTGGCCTGGCAACAGAGAGGTTGCTCGTTAGACCCTCTGGCACAGCAGTTGAAACAAATGGTCAAGTAATCTTAAATTCCCCTGCCTATCTACCAAGCGGTAAAACATATGACCAGTCTGGAAGAGTAGACCAAATATTTTGTAAAGGGGCTCTCACACGAGCATCCTCGTGGAAATTCTTTCTGCCAGCAGAGGCATGAGAAAAAGCAATATCATGACTGTGCCACAGCTCCACAATCCCAATTGTTTTGGCAAAGTGTTCAAAGAATGTTGCTAATTAAAAAGGTTGCTTATGTATTTAACACGTGGGTGTTTAGAGGCCAGAGCACTGAACTGGCACCACCGAGTACCTGAGTTTGAATCCAGGCAGCTGCCTGTGATTAAAGCGGGTTCTCAAATCGAGTGAGTTAATGGTCTCAGTCCGGTCGTCATTGACTGCACAAAATAATGCATCACATTACTGTCATTCTGCACTTTATTGGGATATATTTCCAGCTATGAGAAGTCACAACATTATTACGACTAACATCACTCCCATATGAGGAACGGGTGGGAAAGTCCTGCCCTTTACTATGTGGACAAAAGGTCAATTTAAAGGGTACAAAGTAGCTCTGTGATATCAGATTTAGTGGGCTATGATCTAACACAAGGCTTGTATTGCTCTGTAAGACACGAATGAATACTTGGGGACCCATGACATGATGGCGAGAGCACAGTCGCGGTAAATTGGGAAAATATGGAAAAAAATGCAGGTTTACGAATAAAAAACATTGCGGGTTTATTACCAATACAGTGGCTTCTTGGCATTGAGCACGGAGGTGGGTGTGGATGTGGAGCTGAAAGTCATCTCATACCTTCCTGTTCCACTAAAAAGTGTAAAATCAGAGTACTAGTCAACAGACGTCTACTGCCATTAATATCAACAAAAAATATATAACACGCACATTTGCATGAAATTGTCCACGTCTACAACATGGCCATGATGAACCCAGTGAGACAGTCAAAGCTGGGGACAGCATGAAGAATCTCAGCACTGTTAGATCAATTTCTCTGACAAAGACACTGACCCAGAAGCATGTACACATACAAAGACAAAGATACCCCATATAGCCTTTACCAAACTTTTGGAACAAGTGGTGTTTGCAAGAACCCATGAAGTCCGGCTGGCATACTTGGAGCTGGGTGGCCAGCACCACGCCCGGCCGCCTTCGTCTCCCAAGTGGTTATGTTTACACACCGCACCAGGTACCGATTTCAGGTTGAGTCGACATAGAGGAGGCCGAAGACCGGTTCGGATAATCGTCACTGGTGTTGGCCATGAGCGGAACCGAACTCGGGTCACCAGGTTCGTAGTGCAGCTCGCTAAGCGCTACAATACCACTCCCCACCACGGCACACATACGTACACTCACACACAAAACAAAAACGCAAAGAGTCACATCGTTTATACAAGCTGCCAGGCAAGTGCTGCTGGCAATGTGCACAAGGGGGTGGTGGGGCCAGTTCCAAGCCTAGCTCCCTTTGCTGATGTTAATACACGCTGAAACATGCACTTATTTGGAGCTGAGTCTACATACAGGAGACTCGAATTGGTTCAGATATCACTCACCACTGATGTGAGCCATGGCACAGAATCAAACTTAGGTCGCTGGATTTGTAGCCACTAGCCTCCTGCAACACATACGCCAATTTCTACACACGTACACTCAGACCCCTGAAAAAACAAACAGAAATTACCAGGGATCCAACCTCAGGTGTCAACAGTGCCAGCGTAGTGTATCTGACCCTGGCCATTGTGAACTCTTTCAGAGCAGCAGGTAGATACCCCTCTTAATCCAGGAGCTCAGCAGTGCTCACTTCATGTAGGACATAGCCATTCTGATTGCCCTGAACCACACAACCAACTTTTCTTATTCTAAGCCAAACTTTCCATTATTGCATGTAGTCAGCTGCTTCTATTTCCTTTCTCCGTGAGCTTCCATTCCGTGCCTCTTTTCTCATCATATCCACCGTCCTCGTGTCTCGTGCCACCGCAGCCTCCCATCTCCCCCTCGGTCGCGCTCTACTCCTTTGGTGCTGCATCGGTAGCATCTCCATAGCAACTTTCCCTTACACCTCCTTTGTCTCTTCTCAACACATACCATCAAAGTCTAACCTCTCTAACCTTCGCGATAATCTCAAAAATCCCTAAGGCACATGACCACTTCGTCACATTAAAACATGAGGCAGGATGGAGAAACTGCACCTGTAAGATTCACTGTGGTGCAGTTTGGCAGCATTGGTGAAGAAACCGGACACAATGCACGGGGTTGGCATCTCCTACTCATGCAGATGGAGCGGAAAACAAGACACACAACACACACATTGGGAATAGTGACTCAAATCCAATTCTTTGGTTCTTTCAGTAAAGTCACGTAGACAGAAAAATAAAACAAAAAGTAATATATCACGACGTTAGGATCGCAACACAAGCGCTGCTTCAGCAGTTCCACTGCCGGATTATTTTTTCCGCCTGAGGACGACCGCTTGTGTTGCGATCGAAACGTCGTGATATATATTTTTTAATTTTCTACCTACGTGACTTCACCGAAATAACCAAAGAGTATGGATTCCTGCAGTCACGAAAGACTCAAATCAAAATTAAAATCCAATTATCTGTGATTCAATTTTCGCCTTATCTGTATTTGTCCACGGGTAAGAGCAGATAATGAGAAAGTTGGCAATGTGGGAAATATCCTGGGTCAGCTGGGGATTTGATGAAGATAACGCTGCAAATAAAAATGGAAAGGAGAAGGGGAAGAGGGAGGAACTGATCAGTTGGTGGAAAAATGTGAACAGTTAGACGGGACTCTCCATGAGAAGAGCCTGAAGATCACGAAAGATGAAGAGCATCGTTCTTGGGCATCACCCCTCGGTTATGACGACGACAAGAGATGGACAAGAGCAATGAGATAAGAGTTGTCATGCAACATGTAGCATTACATTTGGTTTTGCACTTCAGCCAGGCAGAGGTGGCGCAAGCCTGTGATCCAGTACTGTGGAGGCAAGAGTTGGCGTCACACAAATGTTTGTTAGAATGCAGCACAGCACAAATCTTGACGCCACCTGTTCCATCTGTATGGGAAGGAATGTTGCACTCCTCCGCACACAGACACTGATCTAGGCAACCATACTAAAGGAAAGTGTGCTACTTGAAGGTGAATTGCGAATAAAATTACGATGAACGCTTACAAACCACTGCATTGACATAGTTGGGAACCCAGGTAACCCCAACTACCGGTCAACCCGGTATGTTTACCTGTGACACTTGGATCGTACTCGCGCGAGTTCAGCCCGTGAGTCTGTCACTCCACATGGTCTCAAAGTGCCCCTAGCCTGGGCAGAAGCAGACATCGTCGGGAAGTCATCTGTACTTGTAGAACATCTCTGAGAGATGGTTGCATCCCTCCACGGTTAGGACGGTGCTCCTGTACTTGTGGTTGAAGAGCTTTGGAATTTCTGGATTAAAAGTAGAAAGTCATGGTGCAGTTCTACAATTATTTGCTCGTGTCACTGCTGGCAGAAGGGCCTCCACTCGAGAGACCGTGCAGTGGCTGGTGCACCAAGCAGTGGCGAGGCCTTTGTGTTCCTGAGGTTGGTGATCATCAGTGTTGATTTCGTCAGCATTTCACTCGTTTAGTATTCGTCTACAATAACCTGCAACATTTTAGTCAACCCATCATCTGTTTTATTTAGACATTAAAATAAACATGCCAACTAAATGAAATCCACAGAATAAGACGTTACGTAAATTCCACAGGTATTTGGTAACTAACAAAATTAACGCTCCTGTTGATACATCAGAAGCCACCGACTACTTTTACTCAGAGTTGACCTACAATAATGGGAACAAAGCAGCATGGGTCAGTATAACCGTAGCACTGAGAACCAACACCACCTGCTCATCACATGCAATAGCACGGCATCGATACTTGCATTTTAAAGCCACGCTAGCATCAACCACACAATCAACTCAAACCTCTATATCAAAAGTAGAGGATGTAATAATCCTCAGCTCTTCTCTCTTCTTCTTGATTTGCCAAGAAAAAGAATACCATGTGTAAGTATGTATGTTGAAACTTCTTTTGCACCATTCAAAGTCAACTGTGCTAATCGGAGGTGTGGAAATTTAAGGTGAATTGTGAATAAAAGTATGAAATAAAGACAATTAGGGCAGGAGATAGTGCTTTTGGAATATCGATTTGATCATCAAAAGCAGCATGACAAAGTGCCTGAATAATAAAGGTGGTTTCCAATCGGTACACATTACCCACTGTGAAAATGATCAGAAAACAATGACACTAAGCTGAAACGTATGCAAAGAACAGAGTTGCATTCTTGGGATTGCAGTGAAAGATAGATAGGGGAACATGTGATTCAGGGAACACAATCAGAGAAATCTTATTGTAGATGTAGAGGTGCTAACTACTCACTGTTCGGTAACCTGCATTGCCACTAGGTATCAAAGGGGCAGTGCAGCGCTACCTCTGTGTGAATAACGGTTGGGGTCAGACGAGGTGAACTGGATCATAGCCACAGTTTGGTAACAACCAATCAGACAGTTCCACGTGGGAATGTGGGATTGGTTAGACCTGGCCACAAACGGGTATAAGAAGGGTGAGCGCGCAGAGCGCAGGGAGTTCTCTCCCTACACGAAGACCGAAGCCCGGGCTGAAGATAGCCAGGACCCTGGACCCAGCCTTCCAGCCCTTCTGAGGGCTAAGGCTCGGCGTATCCAGTGGTCAAGACCCACCGGGCCAGCGGTGGGTCAGATAGCCTCCCCTAGGTCCCAGCCGGAGGACTCTAGGATAGCGGTAGACTCGAGAGTAAGTCCCGCCAAGACAGGAAGCTGTACCTCCTTAGGTTAGCAAGAGACCTGTGGGTAGGTCCCGCTAAGTCCAGAGGCTGTACCTCCTTAGATTAGCAAGAGACCTGTGTGTAGGTCCCGCTAAGTCTAGAGGCTGTACCTCCTTAGGTTAGGAAGAGACCTGTGGGTAGGTCACGCTAAGTCTAGAGGCTGTACCTTCTTAGGTGAGGGGACCGTATACCCCTTTGTGTGTTAAGGACTGTGTAAGAGAAGACAATAAAGAGTGTGCCTCATAAGAAGTGTATTCATCATTATAAACACTACATATGTATGTACAACTTCTTTCGTACAGTATAAAGCCAACCACGCTAATCAAACTGTTAAGAAAAGCAAGGAGGGGCTTAGGCTGGACACCACTCGATGGGATGATAGCTGATGGACAAAACCGGTGCCGGAATTGCAGCCAAAGAAGAAAACAAGGGCAAGACAGAGCGATGAGATTAGTTCAAGAGCGCGATGGATTGTGGCACCGCGCAGGGCAATGAGGGATGCCGATGGCATGGGGATCTGTTCATTCAGCAGTGCAGATTCCAGGGCTGATGTTGACAATGTACATTTACATATACAGTACATTGACGATTAATTCTGTACAGGGAGTACAGCTGTTCCATTACAATTACTGTCAATCTTAGCTCATTACACCGAGGTTAAAACGTTCCTATATAAATAAGGTAAATTGTTCTAACTTTCTCAGCAGCCCAAGAGTAATGAATATTGGTGTACAGTGTCCACTCATGTGCTTCATCAAATATAATGGCATAGCGGGCACAAAAACCACAACTCAATTAACCCTCGCACAGCACTCACTAAACACTACACCAGGAAGCAGAGTGCATTAGACACATTGTTTAAGGGAGGATGAGATACAATCCTGAACTGTATGACTGAAACCACTGCTGGCTGCAGGGCCTCAACTAGAGGGAACCCTAGAGAGGTGAGTGTGACAGTGAGACAGACCAAGGTGAGTGAGCAAGCGCGTGAGTCGCGAGCGAGGCAGCGTCCCTCTCACCGTTGCGTGGGTCGGGGTCGGGCACGAGGCTGTGGCTGCCACTGCAGGTCGTACACCCCCACGCGTAGCTCCATCGTGTGGCTGGCAAAGATAGTTGTCACCGATGGTGGCCGTGAGCGGGAATCCACCTACACCCTACACATACATAGACCGAGTTGTCATTAAAATGGATCCTCGAGTTGTATTGATTTTATGGTTTCAGCACAGCCACCAATGATTTACATCGAGACCCAGTGTGTCGCACAAGACACCCATAGGCGCACATAGAGACACAGCCTCCCAATGAGTTGTGATTAAACCTGATCCTCCATTTCAGTGAGTTGATGGTCTCAGCTCAATTACCAATGACTTACGTAGAGAACAATAGACTATTCTGGAGATACAATGACTCCTCTACTTAGCCTGGCACCATCAGTAAACCTCATGGCACCTGGGTTTCCCCCCTGACCTTCTGCACCTAGCATGGCACCATCAGTAAACCTCATGGCACCTGGGTTTCCCCCGTGACCTTCTGCACCTAGCCTGGCACCATCAGTAAACCTCATGGCACCTGGGCTTCCCCCGTGACCTTCTGCACCTAGCCTGGCACCATCAGTAAACCTCATGGCACCTGGGTTTCCCCCGTGACCTCCTGCACCTAGCCTGGCACAATCATTAAACCCCTTGGCACCTGGGTCTGTCATATGACCTGCTGCACATTGCCTGGTAACATCAGTTAACCCATAACACCTAGGTCTGTCACGAAACATCCTGCACCTAGCCTGGCACCATCACTCAAACCCTTGGCACTTGGGCCTGCAGAATGACCTTCTGCACCTTGCCTGGCATCATCAGTAAACCCCTTGGCACCTGTGTCTGTCCAATGACCTCCTACACCAAGCATGTCACAATCAGACAACCCAAAGTACCTGGGTCTATCCTGTGATCTTCTGCAGCACATAGCCTGGCATTTTCAACAACCCCTTGGCACCTGGGGTTGTCCTGTGACATCCGGTACTTAGCCTGGCACCACCAGTTAACACCTTGACACCTGGGTCTGTAGCGTGACCTCCTGCACATAGCCTCGCACAATCTATAAACCCCATGGCACAAGGATCTACCAGTTACATCCTGCACCTAGTCTGGCACCATAAGTCAACCCCTTGACACCTGGGTGTGTCCCGTGATATCCTGCACATAGCCTGGCACCACCAGTCAACCCCATGGCACAAAAGTCTGACATGTGACCTTCAGCACCACTCTCCTGCCTGTACCCTCTCATCTCACTCTACCCCCCTCCACACACTCACCTGTCTCTCTTCTCTCATCTCACTTTACTCCCCTCCACAAAGTGACTTGTCTCCCATTCTAGATTTGAAGTTTTCGTGACTGCAAGGATCCATACTCTTTGGTTCTTTCGGTAAAGTCACGTAGGTAAAAAATAAAATGAAACAAAAAATGAAAACTAAATCAAATCACGACGTTTCGGAGGCAACACAAGATTCCGTCATCAGGTGGCAACAGTCACAGCAAAATTACTGTGGTGAGTCGAGAGAGCTGTTTGTGACAAGAGATTGTATCGGGTAAGAAGGGGGGAGGAGCCAGGGAGGACGGATGCAGGGTGGGGGGGGGTGTTGGGGGATGGAGATTAGAGAAGCTCCTGGGCATGGTACTCATGTACCACGGATGGGGGGGGGGAGAGTGGGATGGGGGACAAATTTGCACGACTGAAACATTGCACGTCAAATTTCATAGTGATGGTAGTGTGTAAGGCTGGGAGTAAAAGACCGGAGATATGAATATAAACTATAAGGCAGCTAAAGTGTAACTTGGTTAATAACATCCTTCCAATGATTGCTCAATTGCTCAACACTCTCGTCCACTCACCTACCTCTCCCCTCTCATATCACTCTAGTCCACACACTCACCTGTTTCTCTCCTCAATCTACTTCCCTCCACAAACTCATCTGTCTCTCCCCACTCACCCTACTCGACTCCCCTCCACACTAACCTGTCTCTCCCCTTTCATCTCTCTATGCCCCTCCACACACTCACTGTCGCTCCCCTCTAATCCGACTCTACTCCCTCCACATACTCTGCTGCCTGTCCCCTCTCATCTCACTCTACTCAACTCCACATACACAACTATCGTCCCCTCTCATCCCATTGTACTCCCCTCCCCCCACACACAATCACTCCCCCCTCATCTCACTCTAGGCCACAATCACCTGTCTCTCTCCTTTCATCTCATTCTACTCCTCTCCCCACTCACTGTCACTCCCCTCTCATACCACTGTAGTCTCCCTCCACACACTCACCTGTCTCACCCCTCTCATCCCACTCTGCTCACCTCAATACACTCATCCATCTCTCCCCGCTCATCGCACTCGAAACCCTCCACACACTATCCTGCCTCTCTCCCCTCTCTTCTAATTCTACTCCCCTCCACAAACTCACCTGTCTCTCCCTTATCGTCTAACTATACTACACTCCACACTCACCAGTCTCTCCCCTCATTTCCATGTACTCCCCTCCACACACTCACTGTCGCTCCTCTTGAATCCCCCTCTACGCCGCTCCACAAACTCCGCTTCCTCTGTACTCTCTCATCCACTGTGCTCCCCTCCCCACACTCACTAGGCTCTCCCCTTTTATCTCACTCTACTCCTCACAACACACTTTCCAGCCTCTCCCTCTCATCCTAATCGACTCCACACACTCACCTGTCTCTCCCCTCTCATCCCCTTCTACTCCCCTCCACAAACTCACGTGTCTCTCCTGTCGAATCCCACTCTAATCCACATTCACCTACCTCTCCACTTTCATCTCACTCCTCCCCTCCACATTATCACCTGTCTCCCCCTCTTATCCCACTAGACTCCCCTCCACAAAACTGTATCTTACCTCTCATCCGACTCGACTCTGCTCCACACACTCACCTGTTTCTCCCTTCTTCTCACTCTACTCCCCTTAACAAACTCACCTGTCTCTCCCCTCTCATTTCACTCTAATCCACACACTCAACTGTTTCTCCCCTCTAATCTCACTCTACTACCTTCCAGACACTCACCTGCCTTTCTCCCCTCTCATCCAACTCTACTCTCCTCCACAAACTCACCTGTCTCTCCCCACTTACCCTACTCTACTCCCCTCCACACACCATCCTGCCTGTCAACTCTCATTCCCTCTGCTCCCCTTCACACACATTCACCTAATGATATTCTGATGAGTTTTGATGTAATTTCTCTATTCACTAATGTTACAGTTAACAAGTCACTTACATTACTTGATACACTAGTAAAGAATACAGGTTTACCATAAGATATTCCAAAACTAGCTGACCATTGTCTAAATAACACTTATATCTTATAGAGAGCCGACTTCTTTAGACAAAAGGAAGGAGCAAACATTAAAGTGAGATTTGGTACAGTACACAAAACTCAAAAACTTGTGTCTTGTACTAAAGATTAATTACCGAAGTTATCAACAGAAGGTGTATATTGGATCAATTTCTTATGCAGTAAATGTTGTATTGGACAGCCGGGACGTACCATTAGCGTAAAACTAAAAGAACACGAAAGGAACATTAAATTATCTCAAACACAGCTGTCAGCAGTGGCAGAGCATGCTTGCCAACAAAGACATTCAATTGATTTTGATAACGTTGAAGTGTTATGCAAAACTAATTATTACTGGCCAAGACTAATTAGAGAATCAATCGAAATTGAGAATACAAATAATTTCAACCGCTGTGATAGCTACAGACTCAGCACAGCCTGGAAGCGTATTAATAAGTAATATTCCTTATAGAGGAGTCACATGCTAAGTGGCTGATTACTGATCTATTACATAATTGCAATACCCGCCCCCCACCTCTGCCTCTTATCTCGAAACCTGATGGGATTCAACAATGATGACGTCATCCTGCACTATTTAAGACCGGAAGCAGGTGGGGATGGCTTCACTATTCTGGAAAATCGCCTGAAGATGCTGGATGTAATGACCAGCGAAACGTCGTACTCAAATTCTAAATATTGTGGATTCACTCTTCAAACACACCGCTGGGCTGAAGTAACTAATTGGCGTTTTGTTAACGTGACATTTTTTTACTGATTGGCCGTGTCGGGTGGTGGAGGGTTGCGACACATTTATAATAACGCGATCTCACCTAAAAAACATTATGATGAATAATACTGGTCGCGAAAGTGTATGTGATAAACACACATTAACCTTATTCTTTGGGTCTTTCAGTAAAACCACGGAGATAGAAAAAAAATAACACTATCATGACGTTTTGATCACAACACAAGCAATCGTCATCAGGTGAAAAAAGAGGGGAAAAGCTGCTGAGGCAGGCTGTTTATAAAGGTTTACAGATGGGCGGGGCAGCTAATGTTAATGTAGGAGAGGGCTCCAACACCGGCAGTAGGTCTACACCAGGGGTCTCAAACTCGCAGCCCGCGGGCCAATTGCGGCCCGCGGAACGATATTTTGTGGCCCCCTACTTGACATCATTTTTTAAATTTATTTTTTAATTATTATTTTTCCCCATAGCTCAGGCTCGTGACAGCTTCCGGTGTTTGTTGACAAGTTAGCCAACGCGAATTAGCAACGTTAGTCACTTGGTTGAAACGTGATTCCGGAGTGACACCAAGTGGAAGGAAAATATATCCTGTCACCCAGTGCAAGGTACAGAGGACTTAGGAAGTGGGCGGACTCAACAAGAGTAATCAGTGACCTAATAAAGACAACAGAGTGTTGCAATAGGAAAGGGAAAATAATTACATGGATAGCAAATAGCATGAGATGGGTGGCAAGAACAAAAGCCAAATGATGGTTAGAACCTGAATATTATAGAGAAGTTATAGATTATTATTACAAGAGAAACAAAGACAAAGAAAAAGGACAGATATGTGCAATCGCAAAAGAAAACGAATTTACCAAGAACAATTTAATCAAAAAGAGCAAGAAATTAAAAAAAAATATAAAACATGAGACAATGCACTTGATGTTAAGAATTAAGACAGGTGGAGTAACATGGACACCAGAGTTAGCTCAATGGCATCCAGAGAGTTGGTAGAGCAGAAGGATATGTAGGATGTAAACAAAAAGACAATCTAGATCACTTTATTTATGAATGTGAAAGGTATAAACAC